CCGTTGCCGGACACGAAAAAAGACAAAAAAAAAAAAAAAAAAAAAAAAAATATACATTTTTGTTCATCAAGACACAGGGATCTGTTGGTGGTCATTTCTAGTTACACTGTACTAAGAGTATGGAGTGGAACAAATTTTGTGTGGTCCCCAAAACTTAGAAGACTAGTAATGGATATATGATGAGACAAGTTATATTGTTTTGGCAATGTCAGTTACCATTTCCTTTTATTCCCCTCCTTTTTTTTAGCTGCTGATGGCAAGTGAACTTACAGGATGGGGAACAATCCCCTCCTTTCTGATGTAAAGGCACAGTTTGAGAATATTAGTAATGTCAGTAAAGGTCAAGGGTGTTTAAGTACCATCTCCATGCAGCTCTCTCCAAGGCTGTGCTATCAGAAAACAAAGAAGAGATGCTCTCTTCTCAGCTTCCAAACTATTGCCTGGAAGAATGTGGGTGGATAGTGTGAGATTTGGACCTGTAGGTGCTGGAATACTACCCATGCCTCAGCAGTAGATCCCGACCCTCTCCTCATGTACCGAATGGGAGGGCAAACTGAAAGTGTACAAAATGTGTCCACTCAGAGATCATCTCCAGAACATGATTTCAGCTCTCCCAAACTCTGCCCCAAAAGGTAAATTCCACATGTTCTGCTGATTACTGCTGCAGAGTGAAGAGTTGTTTAATCTCCAATCTGCAACCACATTCCTGAGGAACTCAGATAGAAGGTAGACAGCCTCTTATTAGAATGTGTGTTATACTATAATCACTGAAATGACACTATGGGGTCCCTTTCACTCCATAGTTGCATAAGCAAGTCATAAGAAAATGCTAACTTATCAGGGATATCAGGTAGTTACATTTCTTATTTCTGACTTCTTAAGGAAGAATCAATAATCTACCACAAGTCTGGCACTTTGCAAAATTGATATATAAGGTGACTGTGGTTTCTAAATTAGCGATACAGTGCTAAAGCCTAAATTCATCATAAAACGTAACTGCCCCCAATAATTTCAAATTCAAGGCTAACTTCCCATATTAAAGCTAGCACAGACTCGAGATTACAAAAACTACTGCAGTGTAGCCAGAGGTAAAACCAAAGCGCCACAGAGGCACTGTGGGGAATCAACCAGGCATATCTTTGTCTTTGACATCTTTATAACATAATTGGATTGAGCAATGTGTACATATAAAAATAAGTGGTAATGTAAGGTTTAATAGGAGTATGTATGAAACAGAGAGGCAATCTCTACATACCAATACTAAACTAAATATGATAGTGCCAAAATAATTCAATTTGTGGAAACAATCTTTGTGGAGTGGGCATAGCATCAGAAAGTATCAGAAAAAGTGATACTTGAGACATTATAAATTTGACATAAAATAATAATATGGAATGTAGGCACTTGCATTGCCTGTGTTCAGAATATAGTAGAGATTATTTGACTTATGAATAGCTTTTGAAAAAAAATATAAATATATATATACATGTATATAATTTGAATGTTTCCGTGACCTAATCCAATACCCAGATAGTCAATCACAAGGAAACAAATTTTAGTACAAGGAAATATGTCATTTATTTGAAGTAGGATCTGTCCTTGGAGAGAGAAGATAGTGTAAAAGAAAATTCAGTCTGCATTTGAGCATGTTTCTCAATATTTACTTCCCTTTCAATATTTCATTAAACCTAGATGCAAAAATAAAGAAAGACTGCAGAAAAATATAACTATCCTCCTGTGGTTTGGAATATCAAGAGAGAATAAACCTATCTGTAAATAAGCAGAAATGTTGCATAGATAAATCACACATGTTAAAATTTTACTGTACACTGAAAATGATACTGAACTGCAAGAATTATACAGGCATAACTCTAGAAAATCTTTTTTTTGGCTAGCTACTTCTCTATATCCTTGGGTGTCCTTTTCTATTTTTAAAGATTTTTAAGGTTTGCTGCTTATGTTAGAATAAACAAAATTATGGACAAACTTTAACTACCATACATTAAAAAATAATAAATACGTATAACCAAAAACTCCAACAAAGGTCTTATTTCATATAATTGCTGTAATTATGGCATAAAACATATTTTCTCTAAGTTTTACACTTATGTTTGCTTACAAATAAGGGGATTGATGTATTTTAAATTAATGTATAGACATTGAATGGTTCTATTGTGGTATAATAGACTCAATGCTCTTTTTAAAGTTCTATTATTGGAAGAATCTATTTCATCACTTTCTATATATGAAATTTAAAATAGAAAACTAGGAAACACTGGAGAACACTCATGGAAAAGACTTTTAAAAGGACGTGAAAACCTATTCTGAGATTTTTTTTAAAGGTCATTGTTTTCATATGGTATGTCATTAATGTAACATTCTCTAGAGTCTCAGTATGCATCCTTAAATCATTCTCAGGCTGAAGGAAGGACTGTAACAATGTTGTCCTGGTGATTTTGATGCCGAGTGCTCTCTATCTGGCTTGTCATGGCTTCTTCCATCCTAGGATTACTTCCTGAGGGATAGGGGGCGGGGAGGGGGCCTTGCTGGCCTCTCAGTGGTCTAAAATATTTAACACATTCACCTCTATTATTTCCAGCTACCATTACTTCCTTTACTTAGAATTTATCTACCTCTAGAACTGGCTAAGGGATAGGATCCTCTTCATTTTGTACTTTGTATTGAAACAAGCACACAGACTCCTCCCAAATAATTTTGTTAAGGATAACTGGTTCTCATTCTGGATGTCAAACACTGGAAAAGCTGCATTCTTCTCCTCAGGAAATCTTAAGAAAATCTCACAGTGGAAGGTGATCTAGTGCATACTTATATGTAAATTGGATTATTATATTTTCAATAGCTCTTTCTTTGATTTTTCACAAACCACACATTCTCACTCCTTGCTCAATGCAAAACTCCAAAGCTTCTGGTAACTCCTATTCCCAACAAGACACTGAACTAGTAATAATCTCTTTCCAGTTATAACCCTCTGGTCCCTTTGCATAATTCCAGAATGTGTGATGAGGAGGACTTTGAGGTTCTGCCATTGCCTTGGTCCACTCACTGGGGGACCAGTGAGCAAACAGGATGGGATGGAAGCCTGGCTAGGATCACAACAGTGTCTTCTTGCATATGAGAATTTGCTGTGCAGGCTGGTATAATTCCAAATAAATGTCAACTGCTAAAATTTTCCAAGTCAGAAAGTCCTTATGTTATACAATGAAGAACTTCAAGATTATGTTATTTTAATAGCTCAGTCTCTCTAAATGATCTGGGTTTTGTTGAGTGATTTTCAGTAGTTACTAACTATTTGATTATAAGTCTTCTTTAGGCATACATTGGGTACCCTTCCCAAGAGCTGCCACATCCAAAATACTCTATGAGACTGATCATCAGGATTACTGCATTTGAAAAACAGTCACGGGAATTTAGACAGTTTTGTAAATGGGTAGAAGGAACTGGATTAAAGTTCTTTTCCATAAACCTAATCTTTAAAATATAGTGTTTTTTTTCTTTTGGACCTGAGGGAATTAACCAATACTGGCCATCCATCTTGAGGTGGTCTCCATGGTACCTAGTAGAGTAACCAACCACCTCTGTTTTCTTGGGACTGAGGGGTTTCCGTGGATGTGAGATTTTTTGGGCCAAAACTGGGAAGTTCTCAGGAAAACCAATGCAAGTTAGTCACCATTAGAGTAAGGTAAACAAAGACCAAAAATCCAGGTGCCAAAGATGCGGAGATGGAGCAAATGAGGGTAAGAAAAAAAAAGATAAAGAAAAGAGAGTAAGAACAAATGAATATACATCACCCTAAATGGCCACAACTGGCAAGAGTGGACAACTATTAGCTCTGAAACCATAGTCCTGCTTGACTAGGGAATACTGGTGAAGCATCAGTAGGGGTCCAGATTGTCAAGTGAAGCAACACTTTCCGCTAACCTAAAAACCTTCAAGTAGATGTTTCTAGGACAGCAATCACTGCCCCAAACTGATTTAGTAGCACAAAAGGAAATTCCCAAACCAAATGGGAATGTCAGGAGTGTTTCTGAGGCTCTTACAAGGTGTTCAGATTGAGAAAACATGGCAAAGATCTTTGCTTGTATGAAGCATCAAGGTGGTTAGTGTAGATACAGCACATTCAGAGAAAATAATAAAATATTTAAGAATTTCAAAAGTGAGCAGCTGCAAGGGAATTATTTTGTCAACATGAAGCATCTTAATGTTTATGTTGATAAATTTTAAATATTATCCCATCATGTCACAGTTTTATAAGATTTTCATTATCAAAATTGCAGGATGACTTTCCTTCTGCCCAGAGCATCTGAGCAAAAAGAGATTAGAGATCATGTTGTTTCTGATTTGGAAAATGAGTTAGCTTTATTTGACAATCTGCCATCATACACTGACTTCTGTACTTATCATTACCTTTTTCTATAGAGAAGTTAGCTTGATTTAGTATTATTTTGTTCCAGAATGAATAGTTTAAACCTAAAAAATTCAACCAAGTCAACCTGCTCCATTGGTATTCTGGTTTGCTTGAGTCTTCTTTCTTTCTCCCCTCTGTCCCTACTCCTAATAGAACTGAGAAGTTTATTTTGACCCAGGTATACACAGCCTGGTTTACTCAGACACCAAAATTATACTAAATCAGAGATAAGGGTGAGAGGGAAATGTAGATAAACTTCTTATGCCAGGGTGGGCAATAAGTAACTCTTGTGCATGGCATTTCTGTAGGACTATCGAGTGAACATTTTTCTGAGACAACAGTGGAATGATTCACGGCTGGCATACAGCGAGTACCCAGATGATTCTCTGGACTTGGATCCATCTATGCTAGACTCCATTTGGAAACCAGATTTGTTCTTTGCCAATGAGAAGGGGGCCAACTTCCATGATGTCACCACTGACAACAAATTGCTACGGATTTCAAAAAATGGCAAAGTTCTCTACAGTATCAGGTAAGCCTCCTATGGCTGCACCTGTTCAGTTCTCCATTTCTCTGCTGTCCTAGGGCTGCCTGATTCTGCAGGAAAGGATATTTGTAAATATTGGACTTTTGTGGTCTCTTATTTGTTATTTGAACCATAAAGTTGGTGAAGAGTGCCAGAGGCTCCCATAGTCTCATAAGTGTGATTCTCCACAACAAAAAATGCATTTAGTAGGATGGTGGGTGGGTGATGATATTGCATAAATACCTGTGGAAATGTGCTTTTGATTGCTTCAATAAAGGAAGTGCAGGTCCTTCTATTCAAGGACCACTATAATTGCCACTAGGCATAATGAATGTTCGTTTTTATAATTCTGCCATTCCATAACATTTAACCATACACACACACACGCACACGCACACAAATTCAATGGCTCAGCATGACACTGACAGCATACTTTGGGCTGGGTGAGTGGAGACCTAGTTCTAATCTCAGCTCTGCTTCTAACTGAACATGTGACCTCAATCTGTTAACTTTTCTTGGGCTTGGGACAGACAATTCCTGAGATCCATTTTTGCTTTTATATTCAAAAATAATCTTATCCAGGATTCCAGGCTCAAAATAATCTTCCCCTTTTATGAACTCTATTAGCAGTTTCTCTGTAATTCTGTAAGGATCTTTTTTCTTCCTGCCTTATATTTTGTCTATTTCTGTACATGAATATAGCATAAGAACATGGATTTTTGGAATCAGATAAATATAGAATCAAACCCAAGCTTTGCCACTAAGTTACAAAACCTATAACCCTCAGTTATATTCATTGTAAAATGGGAAACAACATATTTATCTCTGAGTATTCTTGTGAGAATGAATGATGTAGAGGTCAGCAAATATTTTCCGTAAAGGGCCAGTTAGTATTTTAAACTTTACAGGGCAAACTGCCTCTGTCGTAGCTACTTAACTCTGTCATTGTAACTCAAATGCAGCCATAGACAATTGGGTATGGCTGTGTCTCCATAGAACCTTATTTACAAAAATGGATGGTCGACTGGATTTGCCCATTTGGCTGTAGTTTGCAGACCCCTGCTACACAGTTTATAAAAATTCTTTGCCATAGTATCTGACACAGAGTACATGTCCAATAAATAAAATGATGACCGTCTGTATTTTAAAATCAATTTAAAAAAAATAGTAAGCTCTTTGAGGCCATGATACTTGGTTTTTGACTTTTTATAACACCTTTCTAAGGGCCAGGATTGCATGTGAAAAATGCTTTGTACATTTAATAACTATTGGCATTTAAAATGTCCTTTATAGAATTCTCCATTTCCCTCCAACTTTATTACCAAATTTTTAAAAAGTGGACAGCTATTATCCTTGCAAATAATTTTTACAAGTTTGCAGACTCACTACTATCCCAACCTAATTTAACAACTCTTTATACAACATGGTTCTGTATTGCATATTCTATTCTTATACCTAGTAATTTCACAGCTTGCTGATGGCCGACAGCCCTAATGTCTTGTGGAACAAAAGAGGCTGCTCATATGTAAAAAGTGGCAAAGTCACTTCTTGCAGAACCAGGAAACTTCCCCCAATACCCAATTCATTTTTAAGGAAATGAAATAATCTGCCTGGTGATGCATTTGTTTGGTGTAAAATGCAGTATTGGGCACAACCGAAGTTGATTTGACCTGATGAAATGGGACATATATAGAGCATGGTGCTGGAAAGGAGAGTTATAAAAAGCAGCACAGGGTATCAGCTGCTCCAGCTAATCCTCTGGGCCTTGGGTGGCATTTACTGTAGTAAATACCTGGCATTGTGCACTGCTAAAATAAAGCCAGGTTGTTGTTGTTGTTGTTATTGTTTTCTTTCTGTCCTATGAAGGCCTTTCCATTCTAGAACTGTGAAGGATATAATGCTCCCCAACTTAGATACAGAGGCATTTCTTGTATTTCTGCTTCCCAAGCGTGGCACATTACTGGGTCTGAAATGCCCTAACAATTGTTTTGGATTGGGTGGGGTTTGTCTTATGGCAAACTGGATTAGACTTTTCTTTCATTGAGGGTATTCTCTGAAATCAGAGGAAAAGTCCTCGGTGAAGGAGAACTGGAGATGTCATTTTAAGGAAACATAAGCTATCGGCAGATTTGAACTGCAAGAATCTAATTATTTGCCTAGAATGGTTTTCAATGAGCCAGACACTGTGCTGGGCATAGAGATCCAGAGCTAAGTAAGATGTGGTCCTGCCCTGGAAGGGCTCTGGTCTAGCAAGGTAGGTGGACACATGATAAATTAAGTAATAGGAATAAACAGAGAACAAGGAAAAGTGGCTCTAACTTTGCAAATGAATTGTGTGACCAAATATTGTCAGAATTTGGAGATCAGCACCCATGCTGCAGTTTGAGTAACTGGACTCAATTTAATTAGAGGTCAAGGAGTAATTAATGCTAATAAATGCCCAACTGCAAGTTTGACTCGAGTTTAAGGCCAAGCAGACTATATTTGTTGGTGTCTTTTTTTTTCCTTTTTAAAAAAATTGAAACATAATTGATTGTACATATCTGTGGGGTACCATGTTGAATATCAATACCTGTATGCAATATGTGATGCTCAAATGAGAATAATTGGTATATTCAACATTACACAATGTACTCATTTTTTTTTTTGTCACCGTTTACCAATTTTTCCCTAATCCCCCTTCCCCTCTCCCTTTCTCACCTCTGGAAACCTTAGTTCTGTTCTCTCCTTTTGAAAATTCAATGTATTGTTGTGATTGTTGTATCTTTCTTTCCTTCTTTTTTTGTAAAAAAAATGTTTCTTTTATTTTACCTCCCTCCCACTTATGAGTGAGGACACTTGGTGTTTCTCTTTCCATGCCTGGCTTATTTCACTTAACATGATTTTCTCTAAGTTCATCCATATTGCTGTGAATGGCAGAATTTTATTCCTTTTTATGGCTGAGTAGTATTCCATTGAGTGTATATACCACATTTTCCTTATCCAGTCATCTGTTGATGGACTTTTATGTTGGTTCCAACTCTTGGCTATTGTGAATAGAGCTGTGATAGACATGGGAGTGCAGGTGTCCTTTCAATATGATGATTTCCATTCCTTAGGGTATACACCCAGTAGTGGGGCTGCTGAATCATATGATAGTTCTGTCTACAGTTGTCTGAGGAAATTACATACTATTTTCCACTACTGTGCTACTTTACAATCCCACCAACAGTGTAGAAGAGTTCCCCTTTCTCCACATCTTCACTGGCATTTTGTTATTCTCAATCCTTTTAATAATGGTCAGTCTAACTGGGTTGAGATGATATCTCAATGTGGTTTTGATTTTAATTTCCCTGATGCTTAGTGATGTTGAAAATTTTTTCATGTGCCTGTTGGCCAGTTGTATGTCTTCCTTTGATAAATACCTATGCAGCTCCTTTACCCATTTTTTAATTGAGTTACTTGTTTTTTTACTGTTAAGTTGCTTGAGTTCCTTGTATATTCTGGATATTAATCACTTGTCAGATGCATAGTTTGCAAATATTTCCTCCCATTCCGTAGGTTGTCTTTTCACTCTGCTAATTGTTTCTTTTGCTGTGCAGAAGTTTTTTAGTTTGATATAATTCCATTTGTTTATATTTTTCCTTTTGTTGCCTGTGCTTTAGGGATCTTATTCATAAAGCCTATTCCCAGTTCTAGTTCCTGAAATGTTTTCCCTTAGGAGTTTTATAGTTTCAAGTCTTATATTTAATTCTTTAATCCATTTTGAGTTGATTTTGGTGTATGGAAAGGTGTACAGGTCTAGTTTCTTTCTTCTACTTATGGATGTCATTTTCCCAACACCATATATTGAAGAGGTACTTTTTCCAAATGTACGTTCTTGGTGCCTTTGTCAAAGATCAGATGACTGTAAGAATGTGGGTTGATTTCTGGGTTCTTCCTTCTGTTACATTGGTCTGAGTGTCTGTTTTTATGCCAGTACCATGCTGTTTTGATTCTTACAGCTTTATAGAATAATTTGAAGTCAGATAGTGTTGTGCCTTCAGCTTTGTTTACTTTTTTGCTCAGGATTGCTTAGGCTTTTTGGGGTCTTTTGTTGCTCCATATGAATGTTAGGATTGTTTTTTCCATTCCTGTGAAGAATGTCATTGGAATTTTGATGAGGATTGAGTTGACTCTGTACGTTGTTTTGGGTAGTAAGGACATTTTCACAATTTTGATTATTCCAACCCAAGAGCATGGAATGTCTTTCCATCTTTTTGTGTCCTCTTTAATTTCTTTCAGCAGTGATTTATAGTTTTCACTGTAGAGATCTTTCACCTCCTTTACAAAATATTAGCAAACAAAATACAGTAACACATCAAAAAGTTATACACCAGGATCAAGTGGGGCTCATGCCAGGGATGCAAGGATGGTTCAACATACACATCAATAAATGTGATACACCACATCAAGAAAATCAAGGACAAAAATCATATGATTATCTCAATAGATGCAGAAAAAGCATTTGACAAAAGTCAACATCCATTCATGATAACGACTAAGCAAATTAGGTATAGAAGGAAAGTATCTCAACACAATAAACGCCATATATGACAAACCTACCACCAATATCATCCTGGGTGGGGAAAAGGCAAAAGACTTTCCCTTAAGAACAGGAACTAGACAAGGATGCCCGCTATCACCACTCCTATTTAACATAGTATTGGAAGTACTAGCCAGAGTAGTCAGGCAAGAGAAAGAAATAAAGGGCATCCAGATTGGAAAAGATGAAGCCAAATTGTCCCTTTTTGCAGATGACATAATCCTACATATAGAAAAACCTAAGGACTCTACCAAAAAACTCTTAGAACTGGTAAATGATTTCAATAATGTTGCAGGATACAAAATCAACACACAAAAATCAGTAGCATTTTTATACTCCAATAAGGAACTAGCAGAAAAAGAAAGCAAGAAAGCAAGCCCTTTTACAATTGTCACCAGAACCATAAAATACCTAAGTATAAATTCAACCAAGGAGGTGAAAG